ACCAAAATAAGTAATATCACCAAGTTTCATGAAATTTCAACCAAAAATAAAGGTGCCCCCTATACAAAACTTTCGATTTTTTGTTTTTGAGAAAAAAAAATAAAATTTTTGTATGGGAGGCACCTTTATTTTTGGTTGAAATTTCATGAAACTTGGTGATATTACTTATTTTGATCAGAAAATAAGATTCACAAGTTTTCATGGTGATTGGGTCACTACAAATTTTCATGATTTTCCAGTAAAATGTAAATCCTTTCCTTTCAAGTCGCTGTCTTATATGGAACCTTAAGTTGAAAATTCCTTCATATCTTGAATCTTGGGACTATAAGACATGTTTTCTCAAGTGGCCTATCAAGATATGCCTCGAAATTCAAAAAAATGTTCCACCCTAGTCTACAGTCCAATATTCACGGAATATAAAAGTCTCGGTTTTTTGACGAAGAAATAACGACGCAAACTTGTTGATGGTTTATATTCGTATATACTGGCAGAAGTGTCATCAGCTCCAACATCTGATCAATTGATAACTGTGTGTCTTGATATGTTGTCGATTTTCCCAAAATTAAAAGTAGAAAACAGCACAGTTGGCAGAATGGTTAGTTTAGTTTTCAAAATAATTTGTTGTGAAAAAAAAACGTCGATTATTTCTATTCTAATAGGACTTTTACTATCATCCAAACACTTGCAAAGGTTTTTTGGCGAGCAAGACGTGCCTTGCAAAGAAACAAACAAAAGAAATCAAGGAAACGAGCGAGCGCCCCATACAGAAAAGATCTGATGCAATATTTTGAAGCAGAGCATATACTGAGCATAGATATATATCCGGGATATTTCGTGAGTATCCGATATTTATCGCAGCCAGACATTATAATGGAGTGAAAACAATAGAAGTGATTGTTATAGGTCTAAGTATAAAACCATTTACATTACTACAATCACTATAACAATAACTTCTATTGTTTTTACTCTATTTCAAAGTCTGGCTCCAATGAATATCGGATACTGACAAAATATCCAGGATATATATCTATGCTTAGTATATGCTCTGTTTTGAAGGCAAATTCAAGCAAATTTGTAACTTTTATTTTGTGATGCCCGAATTGGTATGTTTGGCTTCATATTTTTTTGTAGCAAATACTAAAGTAAGACATTTTTTTTTGATATTATTCTATTTTGGTCTGATGTTCGAAAATGTGGATCAACAAACAGGCACTTGAAGATCGGTGGAGTGCCATTGTTAAGAAGCTTCGTACGACATTTAATGTAGACGTTCCTGATAACATTGTGCCAATTTTTGACGCTGATTTGATGAATTTTCTGGGATTATTGAAACATTTTTCAGTGGCACGAATCGCAGTTAAGACTGCGGTAAAGTCACTCCTAACGTTTTCAAAAGTAATTTCATTTTATAAAAGATTTTTTGGTGCAAAAAACATAGTTTTTTTTTAAATATAATTCAACTGATGATCCGATGAAATTGATCAATTCGAAAAACCAGAATGCAAATATAATCGTCATTTGGTCAAAAGAGAAAGAGAAAGAGAAAGAAAATGAAAACGAAGACAACAATAATAACATCGATGAAGGATTTGAAAGTGATTCATGCAAGTACTACATTGACGTGAAGAAAAGTCTTATTAGCGTGAGTTATTTTCATTTTTTTGTTCCATTCAACATTTAAATAAAATGTTTATTATTTATAGGTTCCAAAAGGCTACACCTTCATTCAAACAATCGATCTCTTTATCAAGGCCCATAAAGTATTCAATTTGAAATACCATAAAAATTTGGTACATGTTTTCAAATTCATTGAAAAATTCATTTTCGGAATGGAAATAGATGGTGGTCTAACAGCAAAATATTTGGAAAACGCATTGCTACTGACTCAAAGTGATGTTTAAGTAACTCAACCCACTGATGATTGCTCCGTGCAATTCAAATTAAGTCCATTATTTATTTATAATATATTTATTAGGAAGTGCATCATAATGCATTTTGTGATTTTCATATGCTGTGAAAAAAAATAAAGACTTCGTTACCGAAATATTTTTAAATAAATTATAAAATTTTCACATTCAATCTAATTTTTATTTATTCAGGTCTATAAACATTTAAAGTGTCCGCAATGATGTACATATTTCCGAATGCAATTGTTGTTTGATATGACTGTTTATTTTCTAAATCAACAAATGGAATCAAAATTGAATTTGCATCATTATTTGGAGAGATTTGTATACTATTTAGAAAAGAATCGTACTGAACAGTCTTATACTCCTTACATACGAATACATATGAATTCTGTAAAAACGACCAAAATCTGTAAAATTTCATGAACAACCATTTTTTCAATTAAAAAAAGCCCATTGCGGTATTGAAAGTGAGAATAATTCAAAAATTTCAAACAAAACAGCTTGTCGTCATCCTTAATACAGTGTTGATATTTATTGAAACTCCTAGATCTGCGAAACAAAGTACGTTTTGATTCTTTGAACATAATTGGCTTGAATTGATCTTTACACATCATAATCTGGTGGCATTCTGCGATTGTTAAAGCGATGTTTTTGAAACATTCTGTTTTTCCTAAACCGGACAGCACTTTGTGTTTAGATTCATAACGCATCATCCATCCGAATAATACGGGTCCTAATCTACGAATGATATCTGCATAATGAACGGCAAAATGGTGCTTTTGCGTCAAAAAAGATTTAAAAATTCTTTTATAGGTACATAAATGTATTTCGATGAGAGACTCGAGCCGAAAGAGATCACACTCTTTTATGGTTGTTGAAAATAAAATTTGCAAGATCTGAAGAAGCGAAGTCATACATTCAGCGACTTCATCAAGTTGGTAACGAAACTCCCTTAAAATGAACGGAACGTGAATAATGATGGTGCGTTATTGCGTGGCGTTTTGTTTCAAATTATTCGCAGGAATTTTCACCTTCGATGGAAGTTTATTTTTGAATAGGAACCCATAATTAAAGTCACGAATCAGTACTTGAACGGTGTTGTTTGATGCAAAAAAAATTTCACTGCAGTATTTCATGAGATTTTCGATAAAGGATCGCACCAACTCTTCTAGAATATCGTGCATCAAGTCGACATTTACATTTCGAAATATACTGAAGGATGGAATTTTGGTCAACTCACAGGAACCTTTTATTCCCTTCGACTTTTTTAAATCAATGTCAACATCGTCATCTAACGAATCTAGATATTTCATGGCCTTTTGATATGATGCTTCAGTTCTTAATTTTGATTTGTTTTCACGTGTAGCAACTCTCCATTCATCTTTCGACATTTCACAATATCTACACATTCCGTCAACAATAAAACATTCAGTAAATCCGAGAGCTCCATTTAAGCCAAGATTATCGCTGATAAAATCAAACAAAAACACTTTTGGCCGTGTTTTGTCATCGATCTGCAAACCTGTTGTTTGTAATTCAGATAATTCCTCTACAAAAACCTCATAGATGTTATTAAGGCTGACATCTCTTTGCTTAATGTTAACAGTTTCACAAAGAGCCAGGAGGAAAATACAATCCAACTTTGATTCAAATTCTGGTGGCAAGTTTCGAATTTTGAAATAAACTGCTGTTAATTTGTGGATCGTTGACTTTGATTTCACGGGACAGCTTACGTCGAAATCATCAGTGCCAATTTGAATAAAAATAGCGTCTTTGCGTTGATCATGATCAAGTTCATTGTACACTTTCGAACAGCAATAATCTTTGTACACGCCGTTAACACATTGATGTTTTTTATTTTGATTAAAATCTTCGAATAAACGGCGAAATGAAGGATTTTTAAATAACGACAACAAAGTTTCTTTCATAGAGACATATTGAAATGTCGTTTGTTCAATAACATAGTCGGGAATGTCATCTCCAGGATGAATTTTTGTTTGCCATCGGAGACCGATGGCCATTTCTTTTGGTGATACGTATAATGGATTTTGTTTAATTCTTTTTTTTCTTTGGTATGCAGAGCTGATTTCATGACATTTTTCACGCACATACAAACTACCTTCACAGAAGATATGAATTACTTTATCTTTAACGTTCACTGGTAGATGTATTTCAATAGCGATTTGTATAAATTTGTTTGACTTTCTAACAAATTCGAAACAATATTTGCGATAGTATCACTTTGATTCTGATTTAATTTTAATTGGTTCATAACATTCACAAATTTTGAGAATTCTCCATCAAATATTTCATATGCTTCGGCTCTCTTTGACTTTATTGTTAACTTTCCAAGCTGATTACTTATAGATCCAATATTAATACTGGTGGAATTTTTTGTCACCTCTGGTATATTGGCTACAGCAACCTTTTTATTTTTAAAAGATATTTTTATCGGTTTTAAACTCATTTTTTGTTTCTTTGCGTGACAGGCTGTGATAAATATTCAGTCTGTTTGTTTGAACACAATGAAATGTCATTTGTCTCAAAACTGCTATACAAAAACGTCGCACGCAGTTTATGGAATATTTGAAAAAAACTACTATAAACTGACGTTCATGTTCATTTCATGAAAATTGAGGTTATATGTATTTTGTGTGTATTTACTATTCAACGCCTGCGCGGAAGAATGAACATGAATATCACTTAAATACGTTTTCTTTTTTCCTAACGACTGTTATTAATGATTCAAATAAGACGGACAAATACAGTCAAAATGTTCGTAGAACTACGTTCTTTTATTGAAATCCAAGCTTTCGACCTTCGTTTGGGTCTTCTTCAGGGAAACTAATAGTACATGTAGTTACAGTGTCAATTTCAATTAATTATGCGGATTTTAATTGAAATTGACACTGTAACTACATGTACTATTAGTTTCCTTGAAGAAGACCCAAACGAAGGTCGAAAGCTTGGATTTCAATAAAAGAACGTAGTTCTACGAACATTTTGACTGTATTTGTCCGTCTTATTTGTATCACTTAAATAGATATCCAAAATAAAGAATAATAATTAATTAATCGTTCGATAAATAAAACACGGTGCTTTCGTTTTGAAGATATTAAATATACTGCTTTAATGTTGAATAAATTTTGAACATAAAGGGCCGAAAGTGCAAGTAAGCAATTAATAGTGCGTGAATTTTAAATGTATTGAATTTGATATGTATGAATGAACTTTGTTCACTGGTGAACAGAACGTAATATGTACAGTATACCAAAGAAGCCAGAGCCATTCGATACATTACATATCGATCATTTCGGTCCATTGGAAACGGTAAATTCGAAACATAAGCATGTGTTGGTAGTGATCGACGCTTTCACTAAGTTTACCAAACTATATGCTGTTAATACTGGTACAAAGGAAACAATTTGTGCACTACGTAAATATTTTGCAGAGTACAGTCGCCCGAAGAGAATTATTAATGATCGTGGAACGGGTCTCAAATCAAAAGAGCTTGAAGAGTTTTTGCAAGAAAGAAACATAATACATATCAAGAATGCAGTTGCTTCACCGCAGTCCAATGGTCAGGTGGAAAGAGTTAACCGTGTTATGAAAGCAGTGTTGGCTAAAATAACCGACCCCATAAGTCATACTGATTGGAAAAAGAAATTGTCAGATGTTGAGTTTGCTGTGAATAACACTGTGCACTGTACTACAAAACAGACGCCAAGTAGAATGTTGTTCGGTATTGAACAGCGTGGTGAGTTGGTTGATGAACTAACAGAGTATTTGCATGAGGTTTATGCCAAAGAGCAAAGGGGTTTAGATGATATAAGAGCAAAAGCAGAGGTTGCAATTCAGAAGTCTCAGTCGTATAACCAAAAGTATTTTGAGAAGCACCATAAACCAGCGAAAGAGTTTAATCCGGGAGATTTAGTTGTAATTAAGAATGTGGATACCACTGTTGGCAAGAATAAAAAATTAATTAAAAAATTCAGGGGCCCATATGTAATTCGTAAGCGTTTGGATAATGATAGATATGTTATAACAGATGTTGAGAATTGTCAAGTAACACAGATGCCATACAACAGTGTAATAGATTCAAGTTGGAACCAGAGCCAGTGTATACAACCGAAACCAAACTATTTTATTGGCTTCATTTACTGAACGAATC